GACACACACAAACATACTTACACACGTATACCATGCACTCAGACACACACGTGCCTACCTGCACATGCACCCCTCCCCCAGGCTCCTCTCCCTGGAGCAAAAATCAGTCTCCAAACTCATGGCAACTTTATTATCAGTGTGAGCAGGGTGATGGGAGAAGGGCCTCAATCATGATAGAGGCGCAGGAGGCAGCCACGGAGGGTGCCCATGTAGCGGTCCCACAGGGCCTGGTGCCTGTAATGATAACAGTAATGTCCATTCGATAATCACCATGTCTGAGACAGTGTTCGGAGTGCTTTCTATACCTTAGTCCACTCAATCCACACAATTCTTATGATTCTTCTAATTACTATCCCTACTTTACATACATAGCTTCTAAGAGGTGGAGCCAGGAGTTTGGTCCACAGAGACTTCCATCCCCAAGGTAGCAGAATTGGGATCCCCGAGACTGCAGGAGGGCTAGGCAGTGGCAGGTGGCCACCTGGGGTGAGGCCAAGCTAGACAGGAGAACTGGGGTCTCTCACCGGAAGCCATCCAAGGAGTGGACAGATGCCGAATACTGATTCAGGAAGAGCCGCACGTCATTCAGTGGCCAGTGGTCGGAGCGGCAGGGTTCCACGAACTGTGGGCCCAAGGGAACATTTAGCACTGGTACAGCCCAGTGACAGGCCAACTCAGAGGTCAGAAGGTGGCAGGCAGGACAGCTCACCTTCTCGACCAGATCCACAAACAAGTCTCTGACGTCTTTATTGTGGGTTAGCTTGGCGGCCACATTCACCAGCCCCCGGGACAGATTCTGTGGGGTAGGGATCCTGGAAGTTCTGTCTTCTGCCCCAGAAGCTGGGGGCTGAGCACAGAGGCTGGGGGAGGGACAGGCCCCTCCCCAAATCTATCCACCTCCCTCACTAACCAAGTGCCCACTGTTCATGAGCTGGTTCCCTCTCACAGGCGGGCAGAGGGAGCAGCAGCACCACCTGCCGGTCAATCTCAGGCAGGAGCAGAGTTGCCCGGTAGGGTTAGTGCACTGGAGGCTGGAGATGCCCAAGGGACAGAGGCTGGATAGGGCCACAGACCTTGAAGTTGGTTTCCATCTCAGAGAAGACGCCAAGCTTTCCTCGGAGGGCGGTGCACACCAGGCTGCAGGGATACAGGGTCATCCCCAGGACCACCTGAGCCCCCACTTCAGGCTCTGCCCCATGGACCCCCCCCAGTCACCTCTTGTGCAGGTCCAGAAGGTCCTTGTCAGCCACTAGCACCTTGAGTTCTTTCAAGTCCTGGAGAAACTCCTTGTCTAAATCCATGTCCATGTCATCCACATGGGAGTCTGCATGAGGCCCATGAAGGGAGTTGGGGTAGGTGATAGAAACCCCTCCCGTGATATCCTGAGCCTTCCTCACCCCCCACTTCATTGCACTGCATGAAATAGAAAAGGAAACCAGAGTCACAGAGAGGTGGAGTGACATGCCCCAGGCCATAGAGAGGCAGTGGCCCCTTTGTTTGCAGACAAGGTGTGTGTGGAGAAAACAGATTATGAGCAGAGGTGGCCTTGGGGTGGGGGGTGCTGAAGACAGGATGCTAGGAACTGGGGGCCTGCAGGAGAAAACTGCTGGTGGGGAACCAGGCCCTGAGAGGGTGGGGAGACATCCAGGCACCTGGGTCAGTGGGGGCCTCACCGACGGCTCCAAGGGTCCAGTTCTGGATCATGAGCTCAGCACAGAAGGCAAAGTCGCCAAAGCTTAGATACTGCAGTTTTTTCTTCCCTGTCTCAAAGCGGTTGTTGGCAAAGAAGACAATGGCTGCATAGTCCCTGCAGGGAGAGGGGAGTAGGTCCTCTCAGGGCTTGAAATTCCTTCTTAGCAAGCAGCTGCCACCTGCAACCTCAGCTGGGCATCCCAGTTTTGGCCTCTCTCTGCCCTAACTCACTGTGTGATGTGTCTTAAGTCACTTCTCTATGGGCCTCTGCATCTGTGCAGGGAGGTTTCAGCCCAGATTTCCTGCGGGATACAGTGGGGGGCCACAAGGGAAACAGCTACTATTTACTGAGCACTTTTTAAGTACCAGGGGCTGTGCCATATGCTTAACGTGTGGCACTTCACAACAGCCCACCTGGAAAATGGCTGGACTGGGATTTGAAGTCAGGTCAGTCTGATCAAAAGCAGACCAGGGCCAGCCTGTGGCTCACTTGGGAGAGTGCGGTGCTGCTAACACCAAGGACACGGGTTCGGATCCCTGTATAGGGATGGCCGGTTGGTTCACTGGCTGAGCGTGGTGCTGGCAACACCAAGCCAAGGGATAAGATCCCCTTACCGGTCAGCTTTTTTTTTTTTAAAAAAGCACAGACTAGAAGTGGGATAACCATCTGCCCAGCATAGCCAGGAGGTCAAAGGGGTTGGAGTGGGGAAGGTAGACTAGCCACAGGGTCCAGGGAAAGAGTGTGCAGAAGTGGGAGATGGCTGGCCCCTCACCTGGCCAACCGGTCGGAGAGAAGAAAGTGTTGCTGGATGTTATCCACCAGGGAGCCCCGCATTTCCTCCACCACCTTGAAGACTCGCTTAAAGTTGTCAAACTGCAGGGCAGTTAGGGGAGGAGGGAGAACTGCTCAGAGGGTGCTCACTCGATAAACTACTTATTGAGGGGCTGGCTGGTTAGCTCAGCTGTTTAGAGCATAGTGCCGATAACACCAAGGTCAGGGTTCGATCCCTGTACAGGCCAGCCACCAAAAATAAATAAATAAATAAACTATTAATTGAATATCCATCTTTCACATATCCACCTAGCCATTCAGCAGAGGTTGACTTAACACATGTTATTCCTTTGACAGACTATTAGTACCTATTACCAATTCAACAAATGTTTATTAGCTTCTGCCATCTTGCCTCAAATAAATGTTTCCTCACTCCTATCTCTAAATTCAACCCCATTTTTAACCATGGTCTCCAGTTCCTCAGGAGCTGGAGCTGGAACTGACTCTCCTGGCTAAGAGCCAGGAATTTGAAAGTGAGCAAATATTAAGTTGTACAAGAGGAGCTCACAGGAGCACAGAGGAAAGGCATCAAAGGCCCAGAATAGTTACTTCTCCATGGCACCACCAAAAAATCTTGTGGAGAAGGTAATACCTGACCCACTGCCTTGGATTTCAAAGGGTAGATATGGCCAAGAACAGCACCCTCCAGATAGGAGCGATATGAGCAAAAGAAAGTCTGAGGCTGGAGAAATGTAAGCCTAGAGAGGTCTGAAGGTCAAGGCCAAGGAGTACAGCTGCCATCCAGGAGTCAGAGGGAGCCAATGAAAGTTTACAAGACAGGGAAAGCCTTGGGCAGATCTGGGCTTCTGAAAGGTTACTCTGGCATAGAGTAGGGGATGGCTTAGAAAGGGCAAGAAGAGACTGGGTATGAAGCCGCTGCCACAGCCAGAGGCCACAGCTGGGACAGTGGCCAAGGAGTGGACTGTGGATGGAATGTTGTGTATGAGTGGGTGCAGTGCCCACCTGTCTCCGGCAGCTCTTGAGGGTGATGCTTGTTTTGGTACTGATGTCGTCCAGGTCTTTCTTGGTGCCCTTGGACAGCTTCTTGCCCAGGACCTCCCGAACAAAGGCCTCGTCAAAGGCGTAGTACCTTGTGGAGGCAGAGGACCACACTGACCCTCCATAAAGAAGGGGAAAGTGGGCCTGGCAGGGCCTGGGTCTGACCCTTTCTGCTTTTAACCTTCTGAGTGCCTGGGTGAGTCCCGTCCCCTCCCCGGGCCTCAGCTTCAGCCTGCAAAATGGGTATATAGTCAGACAGGTTGTCGTCCCCACCATCCCACCAGGTGAGCACCTCTCGATGAGCAGCGCCTGCCGGGAGGGCGGGATCTGAAAGATGAGCTGGTGCAGCAGCTTGGGCGGCGCATGCAGCAGGCGCTCGAGCATGTTGAAGGTGCGGTAGTGGTCCATGGTGTCGCTCTGCAGCACCGCTGCGGTGGCGCCAGTCTGCTCCAGGATTCCCGAGCGCACCCGCAGGGCCACCGCGTCGCTCACTGGGGAACGGGCGCTAGCATCAGGCCCTGCCCCGCCAATCCAGAGGCCCTCGAGGGATTCCAGCCCCGAACCCTATACATTCTTTATTCTCATCCACCTGCCCACTTCCCAAAGGATGCCCAATCCTGGCCCCGCCCCCTCTCCCGTTCAAAACAATCTCTCCGACCGGGTCCTCCAGACGACCCCCCACAGACCCGAGTAACCATCCAGCCAGAGGCGATACACATCCTCGTCGATAAGAGTCGTGTTCCCCACGAATATGTCCAGCTCGCTGGTCATGGCGAAGCCCAGGCCGGAGGCGCGGCCACAGCACCCCACACAGGAGCGAGCACTGCCCGGGTCGGGCGCGCCGCCGCTGGCCCACTTCCGGGAGCGCAGAGATTCCGCTCCGGGCACCCGGAGTCGGCGAAGGACTACTTCCGGGACAGAGCCGGCGGGGGCGGGGCGACGAGAACGAGGTGGAGGCCTGGGCTCTGGGGTGGCCCCTCCTCCCGCCGGGAAGGGGAATCCCAGGCTCCTCCCCTCGTCCTCCCTACTCCGCCCGCCAGCCGTCCGCGGGAGGGCGTCGGGAGAGCCTTCCGCCAGTCTCCCCTGCCCGGGCAGCCTGTTCGGCCCCTTACTCTTGGTTTATCTCCTACCTTCTCTGCCCTCTTCGGGGCCTCGCAACTTGGACCTGTATCCTAAACTTAGGGGTTTTACAGGGCTCTATCCCTAATCTGGTATGTGGCCCGACTTCCAAGGGCTCTTGCTGGGGGCCCCTCTGCCCATCTTGAGGATAAGCACTCTCCTGGGCATGGGGCGCCTGCTCCCACCAAGGTTTTAACCCTACACATGAGCCAATAACCTCTTATTCTACTCTTCAGAGCTCTGCCTGGAAGTGCACATCCGGAGGGCCGCCTATCGGCCGAGTCTCTCCACACTAGCTTCCCATAAGCCCCTCAAAACCTCAACATATTCCAGGCAGACCCCTTGCTTTCCTTAGTCTGTTTCTTTCCTGCGTCCCTATCTCAGGGACAGCCCAACATCCACCCAGTTCTCATACTAGAAACCTGAGTTTTCTCCCAGACTCCTCTCGTCCCACGCTCAGTTCTAATTTGCCTCCTGAATATTTCTAGTACTGTCTCTTGTTTCGTCCTTTCCACCCCCACTAAGGCGGCCCCAGCCCAGTTTTTCTGCATATCTCTCCTTGCTCACTGACACACTGTTGCTAATCTCCCTGCCTACATTCCCTCTCACCAGGGTTCATCCCACACACAGCAGCCTAAACAATCTTTTTAAAAATGCATATTTAAAAATGTTACTCCCCTCTTTAAAATCCTTTGGAAACTGCAGCCTAGTATTTTTTTTTTTTTTTTTAAAGATGACCGGTAAGGGGATCCTAACCCTTGACTTGGTGTTGTCAGCACCACGCTCAGGCAGTGAGCGAACCGGCCATCCCTATATGGGATCCGAACCCGTGGCCTTGGTGTTATCAGCACCGCACTCTCCCGAGTGAGCCACAGGCCGGCCCTGCAGCCTAGTATTGAAAGCTGAGAATCACAGGCTGGCCGGTTACCTCAGTTGGTCAGAGCGTGATGTTATAATACCCAAGTCAACGTACCAGCCAGCCGCCAAAAGAAGCAAAAAGATAAAAAAGAAAAAAGAAATCTAAGAATCTGGTTTCTGCCTATCCTTGAAGCCTCCCTGCCTGAGGGTCTCTTACCACTTTCTTCACAGATCTGCCTTCCAAAAACCATCAAGCTACTCTCATTTTTCCTGAGGCAGTTAGGCTCTTTCAGGCGCCAGTGTCTTTCACCAGGCTATTCTTTCTCCCTGAAATTGCCCTCTCTCTACTTGGCAAAGTCCTATGCATCTTTCAGGGCCCCTCAGTTATTACCTGTTTTGAGAAACCTCTTGGGGTCCCTCAGGCTGTACTATCCCATCGGCTTCTTGTTTAACACAGCCTGTCTCCCCTGACACATTGCGACCTCTTTGAGGACAGGATCAGGATCCTGGTCAGATTTATTTCTGAATAGGCTTTGCACACAATAAAGGTTTATTGAACAAACGAATCCCTTGAACGCGCCCTCCCCCCAGGCAGAGAACGCTCTCTGGGAGGGAGGGTGGCCAGGACGTTTAGATCAGGGTTCCGAGAAGCTGGAAGCAATGTTCAGCCGACGAGACTGTCGAGTTCGACCAAAGGTAGTAGGGACCGGAAAAGCGATCCGTCTGGGTCCCGTCTGGGTCGAGTGGGAGTCATAGGCGGACGCCCGAATTTTGGTTCTCGGAAGCAGCAGGGAGGTCTAGGCTCAAGCTTGAGGAGATTCGGAACTTGGAGGTACGAAGCCTAGATTCGGGTTGAGACTGGCGCGGAGGGCGACAACTCAGGGGGTCCTTGTCCACGAGGGTCTGCGACACCGCGGTCCGGAGTGGGCGGGGAAGGCGCGCTCTGCGCTCAGGCCCCGCCCCCTCCCGGGAGGCTTCCCCGGATTGGCTGTCCTTCCGTTACGTCACGAGGCCCCGCCCCGGCGCGCGCCCCGCCGCGTGCACTCCCCCAGGAGACTGCTGCAGCCTACGCTACCCCGGCCACTGCCTGCTGCCTGCGGAGCCGGAGCCGGAGCCGGAGCCTGAGCGGCGCCGGGCCCGAC